AAAAATATTAATTTTGATAACTTATAAAATAATTTTTTAATCTTATATCATTATTTCCAAAATTTCACTAAAATTCATAAGTGGTGAATTTTTATAATTTTTAAAAGTTTAGTGTCTAAAAAATTATTTTGATATAGTTTAATGATTATTCGTAAATTTTATTTTATAAAGTTAATGGTGAGTATTAATATATGATATTTATTCTAAAATTTTCTTTCAAATTATATATGATTCAATTAGTCAATTACTCTACTTGATTGAGAGACTATTTTTTGCTCAAGTGCATAAATTCCAGGGATTTAAGTGGTATTTAACTTTTTTTTATTTGTTTTTAAAATATGGGATTGTTATATAAGGGCGAGTGTTCGATCGAATCGAGTTAAGTAAAGTTTTTTTTGAGTTATTCGAGTTGATGATATTTTATAATTCGAAGTTGACTTTAAATTTTCTCGAGTCGAGTCAAATTTTTGAGTTTATGTTTAAATTTAATTATAAATATTTATAAATTCTAATATTATAATATTGTTTGAATCAAATTTAAATGATATTTTATAACCATGCACAATATTATACAATATTATACATAATATTACAATATATGTATATTTATTCATATATTTTTTTCATATGTGATATACACATATTATACAAAGTCGAGTAACTCGACTCAAAATTGAAATCAATCCACTAATAATTAAAAAATTTGAGTTATTCAAGTTGTATTTTACAACTTGATTTGAGCTTAAATTTTTTCCGAGTCGAGTTTCTGAAATTACAACTCCAAGTCGATTTTTTTATCAAGTCCAGTAAAAATAATAAATTTTGAGTCGAGTCGAATTTTACTAACCCTAAAATTGTATGAAAGTACTTATGAGGAATAGCACAAAATCATAAGAACCTAAGTGGCATTAGTCTGTTACCCTTCCACTGCTAAGAAAGGGAAGTTGTCGCTGCACAGTGAAACCAGCCTCACGCTATGCCTTCCTCTCTAAAAGTCATGAGATTCGAGCCTTCGCAGAAATCCCTTAAGCCAACTCCTACCTTGAAACGGGTAGGTCAGATATAAACAACTACGAGCCTGACTCAGTGAATGAAACTAATGTCCAACCACATTAATGCCCCCACTTAGGTTACAAGCATGTGTTACCATCCTGAAATCTGGAGGTTTTGAAAAAAATACAATTTTTTTTATAAAAATATATAAATAACAATATATTTAAAAACATTAAAGTTATTTTTATAAGATGTTTACTTTCTAATTTAATAATTATATAAGATTCTCTAGCATTGTCAATTTAAGTTGAACATTTTAGTTTTCTTTTTAAACTAATAACAACCATTAATTTTATTAGATAAAAAGGAAATATATATTTTTTTAAAAAAAGTATAAAATTAAAGTAAACTAATAACATGAATACAAAATTTCCCTTCAAAATATGACAGCGTATAAACTAACAAAAGAAATAAACATATAAGAAAAGGGTTAAACCCCTAATTAAAATATCAAGAAATAATAGATACATATGAATATTATTATCGATAGTGGGGAATAAATATCATCAACACTTACATAAAAATACATATAACAATCATTATTTATTGACAAACTAACATTATCATATATCAATTGTGATCTATCTTCAATGAAAGTCCTAAACAATAATATATAAAAATGATTGTTTTCATCAATTTTTATATATTAATTGTGATAAACTATTTTTTTATTAAATGAGGTGATTATAAGATAATATATGTTTTAAAATATTCTAAATCATTTGACAATGAACGTTCAAATACCATTGCAAACGTAGGTTCTCGAATCCGTGACCACTAGGGACAACAATCATCCTTTTAACCACGATGAGGTAACTTGGTTCGTGTTTAATTGTGATAAACTGATAAGGGATTACAGTGGAGTGATGAACGTTGCTCGTAGTTGAAGAATCAAGCCTAGGGATACATACTCAATCAAAGAACGAAATGGAAGATGGATTAGATTGTTGTCACAATCTTGAGTTTTAAATGGGAAAGAAAAGTTACTAGAAAGATAAGATAAGAAAGAAAAGTTACTAGAAAGTTAAGATAAGAACAACATATTAATATGAAAATAATGAAGATTAAGACAATAATATAAACAAAGACAGAAAATATAAAGATATGATGACTTAGTCAAAATTAGGGTTTTTTTGTGACGATGAGCAAGAATGGTGATTTGATGATTGTGATTGATCGATAGTTGTCTTACGAACTCTCCTAATCGCAATTGACTAGGTAAACTTGATAATCTGCTCTAACCAGCTCTCCCAATCGTAATGAGAAGGCAAATCGGAGTGTGAGGATCTCACTCATGAAGAACTTGAAGAACTTAGTGATGAAAAAAGATTCAAAGGCACAAGGCAATTAGTAGTTGCAAAAACGAACTCTCGTTGTATTATTAATCAAAGAAATCTATTTTACAATGGTGAGTGAGCCTCTTTTATATAGGGTGAGGAGTTCCATGAATTTAAGTAAATATTGAATAAAATAATAATAAATTAAAGGTAATGTTTTGATTTTATTCTAATTTTTAATAAAATAATAATAAACTAAAAATAATGTTTTAACTTTATCTTAATTCCTAATAAAATAATAAATCTAATTCTAAAGAATAATGCATCACCCTTTATTAAATTATATTAAAAAATATTAATAATTCATAACATTTACAAAATATTGTATTAATCACGTATCAGAATTTTTGAATGCATTATCTTCACTAAAATGGACGTATCTTGAGTTTCCGACATTGATTTGACGTGTTTCAAGTACCGTTAGAAAATTAAAAGACACCCGATCGTATCTCCATAAGACATTTTTACCCAATAACACATAGATCCCATTCAAAAAGTCGTCGCAAGTCTGTTGTTGTTTTATTTTCCAAGACTTAGACGTGTGGGTCAATTAAAAGAGTTAGGTGGTGTTTGTTTTCACTGTTTAAGGTCTTCAAAGCTCTTATGTCTGCGCCGCGCAGACCACGCGCAGACATTGGGCTTCGCAGACCGTTTGTTTTTTAGAAGACAGAAGCTCTTCTAACGTCTGCGTGTCCTCTTCTTGGCGTAGACGTAGACTTATGTATTCAAAGCTCTTATAACCTCTTCAAAGAACTATTTTTGCTATTAATTTTTTAAAAATTATAAAATGTCATTAAATTTAATGAATTATTACAAAATAGTCACTATAATGTTGTAATAAATTATAAAAGTTCGATAATATAATAATTATTTTATAGTATTTAGATAAATTTATTAATAATTTTTTAATTTTTTAATAAATTTAATAAGTATTTTATATTTTTTTTAAATTTTATTGAAGAAAATGATCATTTGTATATAACTCAACGATATCTAATATACTTTATTTGAAAAAAATACATTAAACTTAGTAAAAAATATTATACAATTAAACTTAGTAAACTTTTTTTATATAAAAATTTAGAAAATCACGGGGACATACAATTATTAGCATTAAAAGACAAAATAAATGTTTTAATAAAAAAATATTCACACTATTGAAAAATCTGATTCTTATAATTTAATTCTGATAAATTACAAAATTCCCTTTATACAAAATAAATAAATAAATAAATAACAAATATATTTTTTCTAAATAGAAAAATATTAATTGATGTATATTATATGGAGTATATATTATATATATTTTTTGATGTTACTAGAATCGATTTGTACAACTCGAATAAATTAAGATGATTTAAATGATATTATAAAAACGAATATTTATATATTTGTGAATCGATAATAATTGAGAATTAAAATATATTTTTTTAACAATTACTTAAACCGAAACAAACAGATTGAATTAAAATCAAATTGATTTCATTATCGATTGATTTAATAATAATTTTTAAAATGATATATTAAAACCAAAATCTAATAGTCCGTAGATGTAATAATTTATAATAATAAAATTCGTATAATATTTATTTAATATATTTTTCAAATAAAGTATATTAGATATCGTTGAGTTATATACAAATGATCATTTTCTTCAATGAAGTTTAAAAAATTATAAAATACTTATTAAATTTATTAAAAGATTATAAAATTATTAATAAATTTATCTAAATACTATAAAATAATTATTATATTATCGAGCTTTTATAATTTATTACAACATTATAATGACTATTTTGTAATAATTCATTAAATTTAATGACATTTTATAATTTTAAAAAAATTAATAGCAAAAATGGTTATTTGAGTATAGTTTAAAAAATCAATTTATTTATATTTCAATTTATTTTAACAGTCAACATATGTTAAAAAACAAACAGTCTTCTTCTTGCAGACTGTAGACTTTTGATCCACCTCTTTTGCTGCAGATGTAGTCCTCATACTGCATACCTTTTACCTCTATAAAAACAAACACTACCTTAGTCTATCTTCTTTTGATGTGAACCTTGTGATACATACATCATAAACTTATATATATATATATATATATATATATATATATATGAAAGATATATTAAGTTCATATAATTGATAAATTGATTGCGATTAAAATCAAATGAAAGTATATGTAAACATTAAAGATTGAATATGTAATTATATCTCTTAAAAATATGATAAATAAATTTAAAAGTAATAATGACGAAATTGACTCCTAACTTTTTTTAAAAATAATTATTTTGATACTTATTTTTAAAGTACTTTTATTCATAAAATTTTATTCTAGACAAAATATCTAAACTTAAATAATTAAAAATATTTTAAAAATAATTATTAATACCTCAAATATTTTACATTCATATCGACTAGGGAAAAAAACTTTATATGCTTGTTTTCAATTTCGAAAATATCCATTTTGAATTTTCAACCAAAAAAACTTTGGTATTTTTCCACTTTGAAGAACGGGAACGAAAATGAAGAATTTTTTTCTTTTTTCAAAAGCAGAAACGCGTTTCTTCTTTAAATCTCCACTGCTCCACTTCTATATAACAAAAGCAAAGCCATACGGCCAACCATATTACCAACCAGTGAAACAAAATGAAAAGAGAAGAGACCGTCAAGAATCGGCATTTCTTCGCCGATAGAAGGTGGGTCGTCCCTCTTGCCATCGCCGGTTTCATCGCCGGTTCCATAGTTATCTCCAGCTTCGTAAAAACCGCCGATTACTCCGTCCTTTGTTCGCTCGCCAAAACCGGATCCATGGCCGTCGACAAGTACTCCGCCACGCCGATCCAACTCCAAGCCATCATCTACTACGCCACGTCACAGATCGTCCCCCAGCAGAACTTCCAAGAGATCTCTGTGACCTTCGACGTGCTCAAGAAACGATCTCCTTGCAATTTCCTCGTCTTTGGACTCGGCTACGACTCACTCATGTGGACTGCGCTCAATCCCAACGGCAACACTATATTCCTGGAAGAGGACCAGAAATGGGTCCAGACTGTGCTCAAAGACGCGCCAAGCCTCCACGCGCACGCCGTGAACTACCGTACGCAGCTCAAGGAAGCCGACGATCTGCTAGCCCATTACCGGTCGGAGCCTAGCTGTTACCCTTCGAAAGCTTACTTGCGCGGAAACGACAAGTGCAGGCTTGCCTTGACGGAGTTTCCCGATGAGTATTACGACACCGAGTGGGATCTGATAATGATCGATGCGCCGCGTGGATGGTACCCGGAAGCGCCGGGGAGGATGGCGGCGATATTCTCGGCGGCGGTGATGGCGAGGAAAAGGAAAGGGTCGGGCGTGACGCATGTGTTCTTGCACGATGTTAATCGGCGAGTGGAGAAGGTATTCGCCGATGAGTTCCTGTGCAAGAAGTACTTGGTGAAGAGCGTGGGGAGGCTTTGGCATTTCGAGATCCCACCCGCTTCTAACATGAGCAGCCCCGACAGCCGTCGGTTTTGCTAAAATGCGCCCTTTTAGTAAATTATTTTTGAAATTCTATTTTTCCCCAAATTTTCTTTTCATCAGTACTACTGGTACTGCTTGGGAAAAGCGTGGAAGTAATCTCGACCGTCAGATTTGCATGATGAGATGTACTTTTATTTCAATATAAATTTCATGAGGTACCTAGGGTTTTCTAAGTTTCATTACTGTAGCATTACTATTAAAATAAATACAGAATCGGTCCTTCTTTTTCCTTAACTAGGACAGGTGGTGGCTTTCTTGTTGCCTTTTCTATAATGGAGTGCGGTAACATGAATCCCTTTTATTTATTATTTTTCGCTTTACATTTATTATGTGTTAAAGCCTAGTTGAGTAAATGTTCTATAATATTAAAGGGATAATGCCATTTTAATCCTTTAACTTCATATAATTTTTAAGATAATCCCTGAAATTAATAATTTTTTTTACTTTGGTGCAGAGAAAATAATACGATTGGGTATAGCTTAATCTGTTCTTTTTTTCAGATTTGGAAACCACTGCAGGTTTCATTTCAAATCTATTTTTAGACGATTAAGTCGTTGAATTTTCGTTTCTTTTTTTTGCTTTTATGCTTTGCTCTTTATATGATTTGTTTTTGACTTTTAAGTAATTCTCTCTTCATTATTATTCTTTCTTGTTTCAGATCTGATCGTAGATCTTGAATCTTCATTTTTTGTACTTCATTGGTAGTTTTGTTTTCTTTTGTTATTTTCTCTTATAGATCTGAAAGTTCTCTCATTTTTTTTCCTGTGTTGAATTTTGAAAGAGTAGGATTATACTTTATATTCTCCTGAATCACACGGTTAAGTCTTTAAAATTGAGTTTGCTGCTTTTTATGTTTATTACTTACATCATATTACTTATCATTTAGGTTTTATTACTTTGTAATAGTAATCTGTAGATGTATTTTATGCTTGTGTTGTTTGAAAATTAAATCTAATCTGATTTGCCAAATTTTCCCCAGATTTACACTCGATTTGCATCTCCCTTTAAGGCTGTAAATTTTTCCTCTGATTTTCCTTAGTATTACTAATTATTAAATAAACTTATTAATAAACCAGAAACATATCTCTCTGCCTTCTGTTCTCCATTTCGATTCCCCCTTTTTTTCTCATCTTTTTATATCGTTAGTCGTTAAATTAGGTGAGCTCCATTGATTCGTTTATTGAAAATTCGAAGATTTCACCTCTTCTTGGAGGTAAGGAAGTGGAACCTTGAAAAAAATAAACTTCCATAGAATTTGTTATTTACTTGAAAAGCAGTTTTGCTTTGAGTAGGATCTACTGGATCTATATTTTTGTACTTTTCTTTTGAGTATGATTTACTGGATCTGTATTTTTTTCATTGTCCTAGACTCTTAGTATCTTATATTTCTAGCGTTTTATTTGGTGCATCTTCTGTCTTATTTGGATTCCTTTTTCATAGTTCCTCATAGCTTCAGCTATAGATGATTGCTTGAGGTCATGTCCTTCTTTTAGATCCCATAGAGCGTATAGGGAGAGGGCTCGATAGAGTAGTGTCAAGAAAACAAGACTTAGAGTTTGTTCGTTGAATGTAGGCATATTAAATGCTAAGCTGCTGGAGCTGGCCGACATACTTAGTAATAGGAAAATAGATTTTGCATGTATTCAGGAGACTAGGTGGAAAGGGGCTCGCGCCAGAGAGTGTAATGGGTACAAGTTGTGGTATTCAGGCGTAGATAACGGGGTGGGTATCTTGGTATCCTCTAAGCTCAAGGAAAATATAGTTGAAGTTTGTAGATACAGAGATATGATCATGATGATTAAGGTTATTATAGAAGCGGAAGTGGTAAATGTCCTTTCAGTGTATGCCCCATACGTTGGCCTAGGGGAGGGGGAAAACATTGCTTATGGGATCAGTTAGATGATGTACTTAGGAGCATTCCGGAGGACCAAAGAGTTTTCATAGGGGGAGACTTCAATGGTCATATAGGTAGTGCAACCGACGGGTATGACGGTGTTTATGGGGGTTTCGGTTTTGGTAGTAGGAACGAGGAAGGGCGTACGTTGCTTGATTTTGCTACTGCACACGATATGGTGGTCACTAACTCCTTCTTTAACAAGAGAGATGTGAACTTGATTACGTTCCATAGCGAGGGACATTGTACCCAAATCGACTACATCCTGGTTCGAAATCGGGATCGATGAGCTTGCATTGACTGTAAGGTATTCCCTGAAGAGGCATGTGCATCACAACAAAGATTGTTGGTTTTGGTGTTCCGCGTACGCCACGGGCGGAGCACTCATAGGAGGGCTAAAATGGGTAAACCTAGGATCTTTTGGAAAAACTTACATGGAGTGACAGCTGATGACTTTAGGAGAAAGGTTTTGTCTAATACAGGTTTTGGAACTCCAAACTCAAATAATACAGATATGTTATGGAAAAATATGGCAAATTCCATCAGAGAGGTGGGCAAAAACACCCTTGGGTTGTCGATAGGTAAGGTCAAGAAGCATAAAGAATTGTGGTGGTGGAACGACGAAGTCCAAACTAAGGTGAAGACAAAGCAAACTTGCTTCAAGGAGTATCTACAATGCAATGATAACGAAAAAAGATCGAGAGCTCAACAAAGATACAAGGAGGCAAAGCGGGAAGCAAAGAAAACGGTGGCTAAAGCAAAGGATAAGGCATACGAGGAAATGTACAAGAGATTAGACACCAAGGAATGACAACGATATCTTCAGGCTAGCAAAATCCAGGGAGAATAGCAAAAAGGATCTAGGTAGTATTATATTTATTAAGGACAATAATGAAGTTCTTTTAGCGAAATATCATGATATTAAGAGTGTTTGGGGTAGTTACTTCTTTGGCTTATTTAATGACGGTGCCTCTCCCTGTAGAAATAGTATCGTTAATGGGTCAGTCGACCATCATACTACAACCAATGACTGCCCTATAAGTAGGATTCGGGTTGAGGAAGTCAAAATAACTCTTAGAAAGATGGGGAGGGACAAAGCTGTCGGTCCAGATCAAATTCCAATCATTGTGTGGTTGGCCCTAGGAGAAAAGGGAGTTAAGTGGTTGGCCAATATCTTTAATATTATTTTAGAGACTGCCAAGATGCCAGAGGAGTGGAGAGAGTCTACGGTGATACCAATCTATAAGAATAAAGGAGATCCCCAACGTTGTGACAACTACAGAGGTATTAAACTACTCAGCCATACCATGAAGCTTTGGGAAAGGGTGATAGAGGCTAGGTTGAAACAAGTTACTAGGGTTTCGGAAAACCAATTTGGCTTTATGCCAGGCAGGTCTACTACGAAGGCGATTCATCTACGTCGACGACTTATGGAGAAATATAGGGAAAAAATAAAGATCTTCACATGGCGTTCATTGACCTTGAGAAGGCGTATGATAGCGTTCCCCGCGATATTATATGGAAGACCTTGGAAATGAGACGGATCCCAACTGTTTATATCTGGGCGATTCGTGATATGTATTGTAGATCTACTACATATGTCAGAACTACAGTTGGCGACACCGAGGCATTCCCAGTGGAAATCGGACTCCACCAGGGGTCGGCTCTTAGCCCTTACATCTTCGCCTTGATTATGGACGACATCTATTGTGCGACACCTGACGGTGTTCCATGGTGTATGCTTTTCGCTGACGACATTATCCTAGTTGCTGAAACAAAAACTGAGTTGAATAGTAGACTGGCTACCTGGAAGACTGCTCTGGAAGAAAAAGGTCTAAGGATCAATATTGAAAAGACAGAGTATTTATGTTCAAACTTCAGTGGGAACCAAAATGATGAAGATGTAGAAGTATGCATAGAATGATACGTTCTCCCCTCAAAGGATTATTTCAAGTACATAGGGTCTATGATACATAAAGATGGGGGTGTTAACGATGACGTTACACACCGTATAAAGGCGGGATGGCTAAAGTGGAGGGCTGCAACTAGAGTTTTATGTGACAAGAAGGTGCCTCTAAAACTTAAGGGAAAATTTTATAGAATGGCAATAAGACTAGCGCTGCTGTATGGATCAGAATATTGGGTTATCAAGAAGGATCACGTAAGGAAGATGGAGGCCGCAGAAATGAGAATGCTTCGATGGGTATGTGGTAGGACTCTGTGGAACATGACACCAAACTCTGCTATTAGGAAGTATTTGGGGTGGTGCCTGTATTCGAAAAATTGAGGGAGGGAATACTACGGTGGTTTGGGCATGTCCTTAGGCGACAACCGTCGGATACGGTCAGGAGGGTAGAGTCGATACAGTCGACGGTGCCAGAAGGAGAGGACGACCAAGGCGAAAGTGGGAAGACTGCTTGATATCTGATTTGAAGGATTTATCCCTTACCGAGGACATGACCTCTGATAGGAAAGTATGGAGACTTAAGACCAAGGTAGCCGAGTAGTGCGGACCACATCCATAGGGTGTATCATCTTTGTCTTCTTTTAATGTCTTTGTAGTAATTTACATGATCTCTACTTTTTATACGTTTTTGTTTTGTCATTAGAATTTATAAAGGCTTAGAACTAGGGTAGTAGAGTAGTGTTGCCTTAATTTAGGTTTTAACCCTTTTGACTTCATTCTTTTCTCGTAGCTTGCTATCGTTGACTTCTGTGTATCATGATCTTCATGTTTCCTCTTTTTAAATTTAGTCGGGTCTTACGTTTCTGTCTATATGCAGATATTTTTAAACATGGATTTATTTTCAGAGATTATTTCTCATTACAAACGCGCATACGAAGATTGCATATGAAGAGTGACCAACTATGTATTTATTTATTTATTTATACATATAGTGCATTTTATCTTTATTTTTAATTTTTTGACTGTCGGAGGTCTTCCACGGAAGCTGCTCTCAACCTGGCATTGGGGGCAGCCTACTACCCTACCTTCTCTTATCCCATTACATATGAGAATAATATTTTGTTATTGTTGTTATATTATTGGACCAGCTCCAAATGTCATGGGATCTATGCACAAAGTGGTTTGGTGTATGCCACGCCACTTGATGGCATAATAAATATCTCTAATTTTTAAAAGCTTTGCCACTTGTAAACAAACAAAACATCCCCATGAAACACGCCAACTGTCAAGGCTGTATCTTTTTTATGCTCTGTTTTGAAAATCGGACCAGACCGGCCAGTTCAACCTGTTCAACCGGGAACCGTTGCTTAGTCCGGTTCAATCTAAATCGGTTGAACCGCTATTAGTGAACCGGTCAGAACCGCTGAACCGTTCGAACCGGACCGGCTAAAAACCGGGATTTTTGTTTTTTTAAAAAAAATTAAACCAAACAACGTCGTTTGTTAAACGAGCCAAGTCGAACTCGAGTATTGCTGAGCTCGACTCGAACTTGAAAACTTTAAAAGTAAGCTCAACTCAACTCAAACTCACAAGCTAAAAATTATCAAGTTCAACTCAAACTCGAAATATAATATTGAAACTTGAACTCAAAAAGGCTTGAACTCAAAAAAAATTTAGAAACTCGATTGAAGACTAAAATTCGAGCTTGATTGAAGTGAAAGAATAGTTCACTCAATGCTCACCAAAAGGCTCTTTGATTTTGAATGCTAAATTACCTATATTATTTATAGAAGTTAGTTGTGATGCGCTTCTATATTTCTTAGCAATGTGAGATTGTTTTGTTATTTTATTTTTACTCTTTAGACTTTTGGGATGCTCTTCTATGTTTCTTAGGCATGTGTGATTGTTTTAAAAAAAAATTAAACCAAACAATATCATTTTGTTATGATTTTTTAACCCTAAATTTATTTTTTAATTATAGTTATATAATTATATTTATTATTTAATATATTTTACCTTAAATATTATGTTGTAGTTAATTTGAATCATTTTGTTTCACTTGATTTTATGGTTTTTAATTTATATATGTTATGACTTGCTTTGAATATGACATGTGATATAAAAAATTATTTTTTATTAAATATTTTTGATATTTTTATTTAATTTTTTAAATAATTATGACGTCGTCCGGTTTTTCCGATCGGTCGGACCGGTTCGACCGATTAAACCAGTGAATCGATAGCATGACCGGTTCGCTAACCGGTCCGGTTCTGAAAACCATGGTTTTATGCATTTCTGGGGGATGATTTAGACAAAGGTAAAGACAAAGCTCGAGAGAGACAAATTTCACGAGTGATTGTCCAATGTGTTTTTGTTTTAGAACCGTTTTTATGAGTTGATTTAAAGTATCTTTTTCTTTCATAAAATGAAAACAAAATCATTTTATCAAAGATTGAACTCTAAATTTAATATCAACTGATTTTTTTTATCATTATCTCATGAGTTAATGGATTCAAAGTGTTGGTGATGGATAAATTATTAATTAACGTATTTATTTTGCAGAAGAAAATTGATGGTATTTTAATTAATAATTGTAGTGGAAGGTTGAGGTGTTCCATAAAGGAGGATAGATGGGTCTTTCAACATTACGAACTGAAATAAGAGTAGATGAAAGCGCAAATCTAGGGGAACAAGAGGTGGCATCAAAAGATCTTTTCCTAACAAGGAGGCAGATAGTCTTGGAAGACTGAGCATGGATGTTATCAACCGTATATAACAAAAAGTCCGGTCAGTCAAGCATGAGTGGCAGCCGGTGACCCTCATCGAGAACCAACCTCGTCGTGTCAAGGACATGCCGTGAGTTTCAATGTGCCTCCTAGATCCAATGCATCGAATGCCTAGTCGTCTCATTTACATGAGCCGTATAAGCAAAAAACCCCTCTGGACAACGTTTACGTTTTCTTCTAAAGTTTTCGCTAAATTGAGACCTTTAATCATCGAATCCAACTATGTTTCTGGTGCCGGAATAACCTTTGATATCGATTAGCCGTTGCCTATTATTGGGTTGGTTTGTTATCGCAGGGTTCGATTATTGGCCTTTTTTTCAGGAAGAAAACGGGGTTCATTACGGAATTCGCAGAGGATTTGGTGTTGAGATTAATGGAGGATCCAAAAGAGAGGGATAGGAAATTCGGGGAACACGTTTACTCGATGAAGGGTCGATGCGCAAAGACGAAGGACATGTGGAGCTATCCGCTGCGGCCTTACGGGTTTTGGACATTTGAGCGCCACAATGCTCAGCTCCACTGGGATCCTCAGATTAGCAAAGTCCCCGGCCGTTGGACTTCTTCAAGACACCCATGCCTCCAAACGAAACTGAGGTATAATTAATTATTCAACTATTTCTGGGATTCTATTTATACCTCTTTCTAAATTTTGCTCTAAATTTTTTATGGCCATTGGATTTAGAGCTTTATATATCTGTTCCAAGATTTCGGTTTTACTGGTTCGATCAACATGTTGTAGTTTTAGGAACAATTTAGGTTTAATTCCTGGTAATATAGTTTGCTTGATAATATTTCAATTGGTATTGGAATCAGAAGCCACCGGCGGATGGTTATGGCGCTTGATCAACAAATGGGAATTGGGCATTTATATCGTTTTTACTTCCTGTTTGAATTTTGTTTTCGGTTGGAACTCGATGGGTAAATTTGAGAATTGGGGACTGATTTATGCTTGAAAATATCTGTCCATGGAACTCAATGGCCAAGTAAAATAAATGCTTTGTGATGGTGAATTTATGCTTTGTTAAAAAATTTCTCGGTTACTCCATTTCGTCCCCAAATTCCCAGATGCAATGAGTTGTGATGGTTGTACATTTTGGGTCATCACCTAAATCGACAACTCAATACATTGATTCACATTGCAAAGCGTTTACAACCCACTTCGGCTAATTCACAATGGCATAGAACGTTGCCACTACGAGAACCTGAATCCGACCCAAAATTAACACAAACGAGATAGAGACTCTCAAATCCGAGCCAAACTCGAATCATCTACTTGTCTGGCTTAACTTTCTTAACAACCTTACCAAACTCATCAGCTGGAATCAATGGCAGATACCCAAACACAGGATATCCTTTCCCACTCATCTCCTTCACCAAACCGTTGTATTTCTTCGACAATTCAGCTTCCTTGGGAACAACTCTTTCTGTCACCGAATTGAAAGTTGAATTGCGATTCAGTATAACCCACAGCTTCATTGAGTTAACCACCACAAAGTTCTTGTACTCGGCTGCAGCGTAGTGCAAAGCTCCTCGTGGACCATTGGTTCGAGCCTCGTCTACTAGTTTCTGAGCCTTTTGGGTCGCCTTCTGAACCAAGTCGTGGACTTGGCTAACCACTTGCTTGGCTGATGCTGGAACATGCACATCAAACATGTGTGAAGCTTCATCTACCTGCAGTTGTTTCAATTAGTACAATTTTATTCACATTCAAAGTAAACTCTGGATACAAATTAGTATTATAAGAAAAAAAAGACTGTTATATTAATTTATAATCATTTTAGACGATACCAAAAAAAACGAAAAGGAACGGCCGAATACCTTGTTATCAAGAAAACCAAGAAGATGATCAGGAACGTCCTTGAATTTCTGGTAAAGGGGACCGACGACGGTGGTGACGGCACTCTCGACGTTGTCAACGGCGGATCTCAGCGGACCGGAGCTTCGTTAGAAGTAGTCGTAGAGATTCGAGACGCAAACCAACGCGTGGATGGCAGCTACCCGGACGAAGTTTAGGTGCTTGAGGCCTTGATTCTTGTTCTCAAACTCTACGTCCTAAAATTAAAGCCAGAAAAAAGAAGAAGAGAGAAGCCATAAGCTTAACTTTCAACGGAAGGAAAAGAAGAAGATCCAATGAATAAAGAAAGAGAAAATGAGCAATTAAAATACCTTATCCATGGTTTGATCTTGTTGAACTCTCTGATATGCTTGTAAATGAAAACGGATCGTTACAAATACTTCAATTCTCTACGGGGAAATTAAGGAAGTGCAATTTACGTTTATTTCATAGATGAACTGATGGGACGTTGAGGATATCCAACGACTTATATTGGGATGCAAAGCAGGTGAGAGTAGCAGAGTGGGAGTCTTCGCGTTTCGGCTTTTGCTTGCTGGGTGAAAGTAGAGTCTTCCAGGACACGTGGAAGGAATCTATTTGTTGGAGTTGGAAAAATATATTATATGTGTCAAAACGATTTATTAGAAAATGAGATTTTAAAAATACCATTAATTTTATTTAATTCTTTCAATTGAATTTTAATTTAAAAATAAATACGATTTAAAAGACATATCGTTTCGATTTTTTTTTGGATTTTCTTTATGATTGAAAAAAAATATGATTCAAAGAGTCGTCATCAATCTTTGATTAGGGTATGATTGGGCACCCAAAACTATTTGTTATTTTAAATAAAAATTAATTTTAATTAAAACAACAAATTAAGGTATGCGTTACCAAAATCCGAGTTCGGGAGTCGGTTACGTGAGGGGAAGGATTAGCACCCCCACAACGCCCTAAAACGGTACCTAATTGATTAATTAATGTCTTTGCATTAAACTTGACAAATTCGAACTTAATTTGGTTTATGATCCCATAAAACAAAGATGTAAATTCAATAATATTCAAAAGCACTCAAATAAATTAAATTAAAACTACCAAGTCGTTTTAGAAAGATAAAGAATGTTCGATTATTTACAAATATCGAGATCAGATCTTAAAAGCTATAACAACATTTTCTCGATAAATATAAAGCATGGGAGAATGTTTTCCATTTGGAACTAACAGAATACATCTTTTATTAAAAGCGAGCAAAAACAAACAGCTTAACACTTTACATAAAATCACCTATTGCCCCAACGTATGAATAACAGGGAGAAAGTTCCAGTGCATTACTCTGTAAAAGATTTGTAAACTACAGGTAGTTCTTCCGCGGTCCAATTGTTTAACACGAAGCCCGGCGGTGCAGGGTAAATGCATGTAGCTCTTATTACCTCAAACTCAGCATCAGTTACAACATTAATGCCTAAATCTCCCAAGGCATTCTCAACCATCACCTCAGTGTTCCTTGAATTCCCTTGGAACATATGCCCCCAGATATGAAAATGTTGTTCAACGGCGGGAAGGTCATGGGTTCCCAGCTAAGGTCTTTACCAGCCAATCTGGCCTTTCTCATTTCCTGACCCTTCTTAATTCCCCTTAGCTTATCCCTCAAAGTTGGTTGATACCCTAAACCAAATCAATCTCTTTTAGTAATAGGGCGTATTGGATTCACCGATCCTTGCAACTGTCGACCTAACCCCTTTCTAACTTTTGCTCATCTTCCAAGAGTCAATTTAAGCCCTATCTTGGTACAGTTTGACAATCGAGGCTTTGGTATCTTCCTACATTCGGCCACAAACATGGCATTGAAAAACTCCAACGATCCGAAAGAACACTCATCTGCTTGCTCATCAACTTCAATATACAAAGCAGTAGTAGAAACAAAAGCAATAATGTCCTCTTCAGCGTGAATACATACAACCCTTCCATCAATCACAAATTTCAGTCTCTAGTGCAATGTGGACGGAACTGCACCGGCCTGATGAATCTAAGGCCTTCCCAACAAACAATTGTACGTAGGCATAATGTCCATTACGAGAAATTCCACTTCATAAGTTGTTGGACCAATAGTCAGAGGAACATCAATCTTGCCCAACACTTCTCTTTTAGTCCCATCGAAAGCTCGAACCACACTTTGGCAGGTTCTCATAAGTGTACTATCTAATGGAAGCTTCTTCATAGTCACTAAGGGCATCACATTCAAAGCCGAACCATTATCAACCAAAACCCGGGACAACACATGCCCTTTACACTTAACTGTGATATGCAAAGCCTTCTGACTACCAATCATCCCAGAAGGGATCTCATTCTCAAAAAAAGATAAAAAAATTATCAGCTTGTATATTGGAAACTAACCAGTCCAATTTTTCAATGGGTAACTCTTTCGGAACAAAAGTCTGGTTCAAAACCTTTAACAGAGCATTCCTATTGGCCTCTGAACTCAAAAGTAATGATAAAACAGAAATACGGGCAGGTAACTTGTGTGTAACTGTTCAACAACACTGTACTCACTGTGCTTCAGAAACTTCAAAAATTCCATTACTTCACTCTCAGTTACAGGTTCGTTGATAACAAGCTTATCTTCTTCTATCTGCACATCAACCTTTTCCCCCTTATCAACTGCAACCTTATTCTCAGACTCTTTAGGTGGATTAAGAGAATAACACCTACCACTTCTGGTAAAGTATTCCACCTCATCTACTTCCTCGTTCTCTTTTGTTACATTTCCCATCTGGAAATCATATTTCCAAGGCACTTGTTTATTATCCCGATATGAGAATGGAGATAGAGGTGTAATAACCACTTTCGGGGCTACCTTTTCAGGCAATCGATTCTTGGGAGTAATGATTAGGGGACAACTAGCATTGTATACCCCTTTAGACGATCCTTCTGAAGCGCAAACTTCTGCTTCCTCTTCTTCAATAATCTCTTTAAAGAACTCAATTTCTTTACTGTCCATCATGTCTTGTACCAAAGATAGGAAGCCAGGACATTACTGAATATTGTGTCATTCACTGTTATGATATTGGTATACCTCTTTACTGTTAAACTATTCACCCATCAAACTAGGCTTCAACAATCCTACCTTAACCATCTGACACCACACCCAACTCATGGGTGATACCACCTCACTAACCTTCCTTATAATTCTCTTTCTTTTTTCTTCAGTAATTGCGTTAACTCCTGCCCCTGCATGGCTTGGCAACGGATTCTGAGCTATATTCGGCTGTTCACTGTCACCAAAGTTGATGATATTCCTCATTCTCAAAGCTTGGACAACCTTATTAAACGTAGTACAATTCTCAATAGAATGCCCGAGATTCCCCGCATGATACTCACACTGAGCACTAGGATTATACCATTTGGGAAAAGGATGTTGCATTGGTGTCACATGATACGATGAGACCACATGCTGATCATACAAAATCTGAAACAATTCTTTATAAGTCATCGGGATGGGTCAAATTGAGGCCTCTCTCTCCTCTGGTCCCTTGCCCCTTGTCTATTGTCATTTTGTGTTAATGACCCTACTCCTTGAGGACGGGAAACAGTGATATTATTAGAATCATATTGCCTCACGTTACTGACTTCGTTTTCCTTTTTCCTCATTAGTGGTCTCTTACTAGACTCTCCCCCTCGAGTTTTTCACTTTTAACCCCATTTCAATCATTTCTACCACCGTAACTACATCAGCAAAACTTCGATAAGGATTACCGATAAGATGCGAGAAAAAAAGAGCCCTTAAGGTATTGACAAAAAACATATTTGTTTCCTCCTCTTCCAATGGTGGATAGACTTGTACCGCTACATCTCTCCATCTTTGAGCATATTGTCTAAAACTCTCGTTAGACTTCTTTTCCATTCCTTGCAACATCATCCTGTTGGGCCTAACATCTTTTACATGTTTGTATTGCTAAAGAAAAGACTTAGTCAAGTCTTTCCACGATTTAATATTAGCTCTACTCAGCTGGTTATACCACCGGATTGCCAAACCAGTTAAGCTTTCCTGAAAGCAGTGTATCAACAATTGATCGTCCCCTATGTATCCGGTCATATTCCTACAGAACATCGTGATATGCGCAGAGGGACACCTGGTACCATCAAACTTCTCAAAGTCAGGAACCTTGAACTTTGGAGGCAAAACCAAATCAGGAACTAGACTTAATTTCTTTGCGTCGAATCCATAGACAGTGGTATCTTCCTTCATGGCTCTGACTTCTCTTTCTAACTGTTTCCATTTCTCTTCCAGCGGATTGTTTTGGTCCTTCTTGGCTTCTTCATCAAGGTCTGAAACTTGATGATATTGATGTTCTTCCTGATACGAACTAGATTCAGGTTGTACGTTAATAGAAGCACCGACTGGATTAATGTGCACCTTCCCGACATGAACATGAGTCACTTAAACGTTTGGAGATTGTTCTGGGGTGAACCCTGAAGGATAAAGTGGGTCTTCAGTTATAGCTCCTGGCACAGGGCTTTTCCCATGTTCAAGATTTCTTCCTTCCAACAGACTCGCAAACTTGGCAAACATCTTCTTCTGGGCATTCATCATATCTTCTTGCATTTTCTTCATATTCTCTTGTAACTCCAGCTGAGTTTTCTCAAGTTGAGCAATTTTATCATCCATGACCTTCTTCCGGGTATTATAGGGATGCTTGGAAGTTCCCAGTATTACTCTTCACACAGTCCTTTTATTAATGTTGATGTTTATTAATGAATTTGAAATATATGATTATGAATGAATAAAATGCGATGCAAAAATTTAAATGCATTAAAAAATGTATATGCAAAATACAGGGTGTTGATCCTAGAACGACTCCTTAGAACAACTCTTTATATTAGAACGACGTTCAATTACAAAGTTGGAACATATCACAAATAAATCTACATCATCTCTCCTATTTGTTGTACATGTGCTAGCAACTCCACAATCTTCTGGTTTCTTCAGCTTCGGGATCCAGTTCTTCAGTCACATCAGCAGCTTCCTCAGATAGAATGACTAAATATTGAGTTATTCCACGCGCGTGTCCTAGGTAACAAGCAATAAGGTCATCTCTTTGCTTAACTCTCACCTGAGCTCGCTCCCATCGAAAACGCACTGTACATCCCCCTCATAAAGAATTATCAATAGCTCACTTGCTCGTCTCTGAAAATTTTGAACAATGGCTTCAAGCTCACTCACTTGTTTTTTCAGAC